CAAAAGACAGACACTGGGGGGGCGGGGGGGCTATAGAGGATAGCAGCCGCATAACTTTGCAGCTCCCGGTCCCACAGTACTCCTTCTCCTTTGAAAAAACGCTTAAACTACCTTGAAGCACACTAAAGCCACCTCCCAATATGGGCAAGAGAGAGCAGAAAAGAATTAAAGGGGTTTCCAGCAATTCTCGGACACTTAAGGATCTTTTTGAGGCTGAGAACAAACATTTATCTGAGCATGTATCTACTGTTACAGACCGTTTACTGACTGTGGAAACTCAACAAAAAGCTGCAAATTTGAAATTACGTGGATTTCCGGAGGAGGCAGGAGGTAATGAAGATTTAATTTCTTTTCTAGCCTCTTTCATAGCAAATGCATTGAAGCTTGAGGTACTTCCAATTATTACTAATGCAACCCGTATAGGACTTAATTATAACACTAAACGAAATACTCCAAGAGACATTCTTATAACAATACCTGATATAAGAGTACGGAGAAGGATTCTAATTGAGGCACAAAATGTTAAAACTTTTGTATATATGGGAGAACAAATTTCCATTTATCCGGATGTCCCGAGAGACGCTTTGCTGATCAGGAAAAAATTAAAAGTAACCACCAAACAGCTGCAGGATTTAAAGCAAAAATATCGATGGTTACCCTCTGGTAAACTTTATGTTTATTATCAAGGCAAGCATTTTTATGCATACGATGAAGAAAGTGGAAAACAGCTAATGCAAGCTCTGCAAACAGAAACTCCAATGGAACCAGAGGGAGGTAAACGATCCTTTAAAAGAAGAAACTTATTTCCATTGTCTCCATTGAAATCCAGTATATACTGGAAGCAGACAAGCTTTATAATTATTACACAATGGAAACATATTGTATGCTTTTGAATGGGTAGTTTGAAATGCTTTAATATGACTGGGGAAGGGGGAACGGGGGGAGTTGTAAAAGTTTGTAGCTCCTAGTTTTAGGGAAACAGGTGATAGCATTAGGCTATCTAACCAGCTATGTAAAGCTGGTTCCTGTATTTCCTATGTTTATGTTGATTTTAGAACGTTTAGAAATGTTTTTGGGAGTGGGGGAGGGAAGGTTGAGTTTATAATAGGCTAGGTTGTTAAGACACCTGAATAAATGATAAAAAACGTCATGAAAACACATACAAGCTTTGTATAAATGCTCTTTTAAATGCTTTCATTGCTTTTTCAATATGCAAGTCATGTAAAGTCAGACAAACTATGTTATTTAAGCTGTGTTGTTTTGGTTGTTGTTGAAAATAAAAATTATAAATTAAAAAAAAAGACAGACACTGGAAACAATATGCTAATTGTTTTATGAAACAGACAATAAAAATCTGGGATAAATATAGAACAATACTTACTCCTGGAATATCCCCGATAGCGGCTTTTTTAGGTCAACATTGGTTCTCTCCAGGTAGGGACCATACAGAATATGCTATTTTACGGGAGAAAAATGTATACAAATTAAATGACATCTTTATAAAAGGCAAATTGTGAACTTTACAACAATTCCAATCTAAGTACAACATAAGTCTAAACTGGATGCAATATTGTCAACTGCAACATATGCACAAAGATATATCCCAAAATTGATTTGAGAAATTAATTTTAAAAAGTAGCAAACATACCAAAGGAGCTATATCAATAATATATAATAGTTTAAATGAAGAAATTTGGCGAGTTAAATCATCCTCTCAGAAAGCATGGGGAAAAGACTTAACATATACGATAGAAGACAAAAATTGGTCCAAAATTTGGAACACGTATCAGATGACGACAAAACACTCAACTCTAAAATTGCAATCGTTTAAGCTATATTCCAGATGGTACCTGACACCTGTAAGATTTTATTGTAAACATAAAGCTACTCCTTTATGTTGGAAGGATTGTGGTAAAAAAGGGACATATATGCACTGCTGGTGGGAGTGTCAAAAAGTAAATCAATTTTGGCGTCAAATACACACAGAAATACATAAAATAACTGGGCAACACTTACCTTTCAATGCTGAAGTGTTTTTATTAGGTGACTGGTCAAAGTCTGTAATATCTATAGAAAAAAGAGAACTAATTTCCATTTTATTATCAGCAGCCAAAACATTACTAGCCCAAGTATGGAACCAAAACAAAATACCTACTATAAAACAATGGGTGTCAAAATGCTGGGATCTCGCAGTAGCTGACAAAATAACAGATCACATCCTTTCTGTTTATAACAACACATTAGAGAATAAATTTATGCTAATATGGTTTTCATTTTTTGACTATGTGACGACTACTTCAAATTTGTTATATAAACTTACAGATGCATATACCAATTTTGCATTTTATTAATTGAAAGAGGTATCACATTAATAAATTGTTATTATTAATTATTGTTGTAAAAACTTTTATGTAATTTGGGGAAAATGTGGTTAGTGATTTTTTTAGTTTTTGTTCTGTGTGGTTAGACAAAAAAGTTAATAAAAATATTTTTAAAAAAATTGGACAGAAGAGAATTTATGTATAAGTGAAAAGGATGTTGGTTTGGAATGAGTAATGAGATTAAAGACTGTTGAGGTATTAATGCATATTTGTATAAGATAATACTTTTGTTCTTACTCAAATAATTGTTTTCTTTTATATTGTTTTTTGTTTTGCTCTTTTGGATGTCTGCAGATAAGAAAAAAATGTTGATGTGTTGCTTAGTAGTAATTAATATAATTCGAAATAGGGCACTGTAATAGGTACGAGTAACAAATATAATTGTTAGAGGTTGGCCAGAAATGGTTTGCATGAGTTATTTGTGCTATTAGAGATAAGATAATATGCTGCTGTGTTATTTAACAGTAAATAATACATCTTGAAATTTGGTAAAGTAAAATATATACAAGCTATAAATTCATTAGTCAAAGATTGGTCAGAGATGAACATAGGGATAAGTGAAAATTGTATAATCCTTCAAATGAGTTGTTGTAAAGAATTTATGGTTGATGGTATATGCACTTTTCTTTTTGTTTGGAAAAAAATAAAAATAATTTAAAAAAAGAAGACGCTACCTTCAGTTTATAGACATTATTTAAATGTGTGATCAAGACTCAAAATATGCAATGTAAAAAGACTTGAATCTTACAGGGAAGACATTCATCATATACATACACTCTGAGAATCAACCTATAGTTCATATAAAATACACAGATGTTATGCAAATATATATATAACTAGAAATAAGGCCCGTTGTGGAAATAAATACAACGAGATCTAGAAAGAGGCTCTGGGAGAGTGCTCTGGCTTTGGGCAAACAGTGTCAGCTTCCTGTGGCGACCTCAGCAGGGTATAATGACAGAGTGCACTGTTTTCTCCAGAGGGAGTGCTCTGTGCTACCTGAAGAGCATTTGTATTTTTGAGTTATCTGTAGCCCTCACCTGGAGAGTGGTAACAATTGTTACCCAGGCTCCACCCCTCAAATTTCCAGGAATTTCCATAGGTAAAGGTGGCAATGCACCAAACAGAGGGGGACAGAGAGGGGGGAAGAAGGTAAGAAGGGAGTTGGAGGGAGGGCTGCAGAAGCATATGCCGGCTTGTCTTGGTGTGCAGGCTGGAGAAGAGAGGGGGGGCTTTGAGAGCTTCTACCAGCCATCTCTCTTTGCTGCTGAGAAATGCGGAGTAGGGTCTTGGACAGGTTCTCCATGGCATTGGGCTTGCCCCGCGGCAGGAGAAGTGGCGAGTGGATAGAGGGGCTTGGGGGGCGTTGTTTGGAGTGGAGGGTTGGAGGCTTGGAGTTTGGGGGGCGGGCGACGGGAGGTCGGAGGTGCCACTCGCCGAGTCGGGAGGGTGGCGGGCGGCCG